AAAAGGGTCAATCACATAGCCAGAGGTTAAAGAATCAACAAAGAATCCGCCGCAGAAAGGGGTTATTTAAGAAAGTTAAGGAATACTCCATTATATGTGATTCAGATGTCTTCATGATACTCCGCTCCAGAAAGAATGGCCAGATATACACTTTAACCTCCGACTCTGTAGAACAATGGCTACTGACACTCCAGCAATTAGTATGTTGACTACCAATAACTATCATTTCAACCCCGCATTGAACTAACAGGAACAGGAAACTATCTATCCAGTGCCAATTAGGAAGTCCTTGGAGGATGTGGCGTGCAAGGATATCAATCCTTAATCGATGAACCACCAGAGAGAATAGCCAATATGTTCGAGCACAAGGTGTCTTTCTGAGATTTATTAATAAAGAATTGGTGGTAACGGCATAGAATGTGAAAAGCAATCGAAATTGTTTGATAGTGGATTAAGTTTTTACTTGGACATAATGTGAAAGAATATTGAAAAGGTGTTTAGGCTAACGTCTACCAATACTGAACAGTTAATTGGTCTTCGAAGCATAGTATCTACATGCTGAAAGCGACTCTTGTTGAGAACATCAGGGAGACTGACTTGGGTAAGAAAAGAGCGGCCTTGTGTGCCAGAGAATATGCAAATGGTATTGTGCCAGGGGCCTGCCTTGCTTTGTGCAATGTGATGATCTAGATCTATGCTCAACTTGTCAACAAGGCACTAGGCAGCAGTTACATCACGTGGCCACGTACAGAAGTCCAGCGGATTCGATGAGCAATGCCATTGGTTCAATTTGACAGGAGCTGTCCCCTTGGTCCTCGGTGTTAAGCCTCGCTAATCCCCAGCACGAAGTAGAGGTGTCTGCCCATCATCGGAGGCACGCCAAGGCTGTAGCCTGGTCATAGTGCGCCACTAATAGCACGTGATATTAATAGTCCGTACTGTACAGAGTACGCGTAGTTATATTACAAGCGAGTTAATGCGGGGTTCGGGTAGACTCATATCTTTGTTCAGGTGTCTCCACACAGCAATAGCCTGGGTTTCATTTTTTAGTTCTATGGCAAAGCGACTCAGATCTCATGATACTCTCTTGGAACACTTTGAACAGTGTCCACTCCACAGCCAACATGCCATACTTTGCAGTGGAAGACGAAAGGATGGCTTACGCTGCTTCAATCCTGCACGATACACTGAATCAACCGACTCTATGCCTATGTGTGGAAGGCATCGAAATCAATTCTGCAAGGCAGGTCGATGTGTGGCTGTTCTGGCATGTGGCTTCCGGTGTGGTCGACTCTTTAAATGGAAGCCTCCAGAATTCCAGCTCTGTCCGAATCACATAAGTTATCCGATGCCTTGCTTCTTTATGAAGATCCCCACGGAGCTCCGACAACATATCTACAGCTATCTACTTCCTGACCAACATATCCCTGCACTGTTCGATCAGAGGACTCAGCTAAGATCAGATGGTGCTAAGGTTCAGACTTCAATCCTATGCACCAGCCGTCAGATATATGAAGAGGCCTCAATCGTTCTCTACGGCAGGGTCCCATTCTCTATTGGCATCACACCACGATCTGTCAATATGTGTAACCATAAAGGCGATCTCTTCGAAACCTCTCGAAACCTCCTTCAAACTGAGGAACAAACTGAAGAATTTTTATCAAGGTTGCATTCTCCAGTGGCTTTGCAAAATACATTTAAAGAAAACATTTTCCCTATTGGAGACTCAAATTTTGGCAAGATACGGTCTTTCCATGTGGAAATTTTGTTGCCATCTCTCCATGATCACAACTCGGTGTATACTGTTTGCGATTTTGTGCGGAAGGTAGTTGGACAGTTTGAAAAAGTTCAGAGACATGCTTATAACCTGGAGATACTTGTCAAACTTAACTACCAGGATAAAGGCGATGAACGACATCTGATCTGTGTCCTTACAGTTGCTTACTTCCTCCTTCGTCCCTTCCTACGCTTACGGAATGTTTCCAATCCTCAAATCCATTTGACCACCCGCTCTTATCGGATATCAGCAACAAAAGTCATTGTCTCAGACTCAACATACCCAAAGATTCGACCACTTCTATGGTTTCAGAAAAAGTTAAAGTACTTGGAGGAGGAAATATCTAGCACCAGACCTGTTCCAGAATGCTCTGGCATTGAAGCAGCATACATGAAGCTAGAGAGTTTGGTCTGCATATTTCGGCTGCCATTCATGTCCCCTTTTCACAAAAGTCATGATATACTTGACACTCTGATTCGGCGGGCAAGAGTTGCTCGTGAGATGAATGACCTTCCTGAATTTCGGAAGGTGTGTGACGAAGTTGTGAAGATTTGGTCTGATTATCTTGATAAGCACGCGAGGATCCGCGAGAGAATTTCTGGAGGGATTGACTGCATATATGGAATGATTGACAAGCTGCCGGAGAGAACATTGGACACTGCTCAGAGTACAAATGATAACATTCGGAATTGAAACTCTGACGATTGGTGAAATTCGGGACATATCAGGCAGAGCAATAGAAGATTTGGCCCACTCAAGCCTGCTTTTTGAGCCAGCTGCAATTGCCCACTTCAATCGCAAGTCGACACACCACTTGAGATATCTTCTGGATGGCATCGATCACAGTAGGGTGGGCTGAATGCCTGCAATTCATGGGCGGTCTTTTTTGACTTTCGAACAGGTTTCTATTTTTAAAAAATGTCGTACAACCTTTTTAACTTTCAACAGGCTTCTATTTTGAATGTCATACGACATCTTTGACTTTCATCGTCTATGCTGCGATGGGCGGCTCTGCCTGGGGCGCACACCTGGTCAATATATGGTGGCTTGAACTGTGAAGATTCCTCTGTTCTGGTTTGGCATTGGATTGACTTAAGAGCTGGGTGCCGGTCCATAAGACCTGGATGGAGTAAGGAGAAAGCTATCAAGATCACCCCGCATGTCATATTACCCAACATGTGACAGTTCAAAGAGCGATTGTATCCTCGTCCTCTTGTGAGCGCTCTTGCCTCTTGGCATGGGGTGCAACAGCATCGGTTGCGGGGCGCTTTCGAAGCGGCCCGGGCCGTGTTGGGGCGCCCTCCTCTACATCACAGAACGCAATCACTGCATTGATTGCGGCAATCCGGCGCTGATACTCCGCTTCGATGGTGGCGCCTGGCAGAGTCAGGACGGTGTCGATCAGCATCATGTGCTGCGGTGTCATATATCCCGATCGCTGCAAGGCCCCGATCACCTCCTCATCTACCACTTTCCCGGAGAGCTGTCGTTCGCTGTCGATCACTGGTTGTTCATTCTTATATCGTTCCAGGTTCTCCGCACGAGGCGATTGCGTTGCCGTT